AATAAACAAATCTTAAAAAATAAGGTTCATTTATTTGTTTGAAAATCAGAGAGAGAGGGAGAGTCCATTCATTGGTTCCCTCTTCAGATGACCTCAACAGCCTGGGCTTGGTCAGGATGATGAAATTAGAAACCTGTAGCTTCATCTGAGTCTCCCACTGATGGCAGGGACCCAAACACCCAGGCCATCCTCCACTGCTTTCTTCATGCCATTAGCAGGTTCAGAAGTGGAGCAACTGGGACCGGAACTGTTTCCTGAACTTGGTGGTGGCATCACAGGTCGCAGCTTTACCTGCTTTTATCATGATGCCATCCCCCACATATTCTTTTTTTTTTTTTTGAGGACTTATTCATTTTTATTTGAAGTACAAAAAGGTCTTCCATACACTGATTCACTCACAGCTCTGCAATAGCCAGAGCTGAGCCAATCCGAAGCCATAAGCTCAGAGCCTCTTCTGGGTCTGCCACATGGGTACAGGGTCTCAAGGCTTTGGGCCATCCTTCACTGCTTTTCCAGGCCACAAGCAGGGAGCTGGATGGAAAGTGGAACACCAGGACATGAACTAGTACCCATATGGGATGCTGGTGTTTGCAGGCAGAGGACTAGCTAATTGAGCCATTGTGTTAGCCCCTATAAATTTAGTTCTAAGATAAATCTTACTTGCCTCCCTTCTTTAGTTTTGTTTTTTTTTTTTTAAGTATTTATTTATTTTGGTTAGAAAAGCAGAGTTACAGAGAGAAGATAGATTTTCCCTTGGCTGGTTAACTCCCCAAATGCCACAACATCGGGTTGGGCTGGGGTAAATTGTGTCAGGTAGAACCACCTAGGAAAGTGCAAGATATGGGGCTGGGAGTGGATGTTGTAGGGAAAATGTAGAAAATGTGGGCAGCCCTGATGGTCTGCAGCTCCCACCAGTGAACATGAGAACCATGGCTGGAGGAGGGGCTGGCTCAACAGGCAGTGGTACCTACCAGTGTGAGTGTGGGCTGTAGTGGGATCCGTTGCCTTGAGCTAGGATCCAATGTCCGTTGATGTATACAAGAGCTGAATGGGATGCATGACAGTCTTGATCAGTCTGTTGCACATACTGAAATGTGTATAAGGGACCAGTGCTGGTGGCAGACCTGGTGGGGATTATTAGGGGTTGCTCCCAATAGTCTACAATCCCCACTGGTGTGCATGGGGCCCAAGTATGTGTGGGCAGGGTGGCTGGGTCAGCATCCATTGGTTTGTGCATGAGCTAGGGCTGGGGACAGACTGACTAGGTCTGACTGCAGCCACCAGTGTGTGCCTAGGCTGATGTGCATTATGGACTGAGCTGCACCCCACACTGGCTGGCACACACAGAAGTCAGGTTGGGGTCACCTCTGGTGTGGTTTCTTTGGGGAGCTCCTCAACTGGATTGTTAGACTCAGAACTCCAACCATGCAGAACACTGCAAGATCTGTGGTCTAACTGTGGAATCCATGTGTCAGAACTGGACCTCCTTAGTTCCTGAAGATGGTGCAGTGACAGCATACCCAAATGCTCATGGGGGACAAGACAACCAGTCATTGAGGCCTGCAGAAGTACTATGAAGGGTAAAATATATTGGACAGCTTTCCGGGCCAAGCTTTTCTTTTTTTTTTTTAAGGTTTATTTATTTTTATTGGAAAGTCAGATTTACAGAGGGAAGGAGACAAAGATCCTCCACCTGCTGGTTCACTCTCCAAGTGCCTGCAAGGGCCGGAGCTGCCCCAATCCAAAGTCAGGAGTCTCCTCCAGGTCTCCCACATGGGCACAGGATCTCAAGGCTTTGGGCTGTTCTCTACTGGCCTCCCAGACCACAAACAGGGAACTGGAAGGGAAGCGAAGTAGCTGGGACATGAACCAGTGCCCATATAAGATCCTAATGCATGCAAGGCGAGGACTCTAGCCACTAGGCTATTGCGCCAAGCCATCGGTCAAACTTTGACAATGAATAACTGAGTGAATGTAGACTCTAAGGTGGACTATTTCAGCAAATGGACCCTGAAGGAATTTCCTCAACCATGGAGCAATGAAATCAATAGCATATCAGAACTACTGAAACCACTTAAGCAGTATCCTGAGCATGCTCCACATTGGGGACCCTGGGATAGCTCTGCGTGGCTGCCCCCCATTCCCAGGTAGTGATGCAGTTAAGATACTGACCTTTCCCCACTTTCCACAGATACAGGAATCAAAAAGTAGTTTGGAGGCAGTTGCTTTCCTTTCTCCTGTCTCTTGACCCTCCATAGGCCAATCAGTGGTCCACATGGGCATACATCCCTCTCAACTATGTAAACATCATAAAAAATGAATTTACTAAAGAGATTTATTTCTTTTTTATTGGAAAGATCAGATTGAAAGAGAGAGAAAAATACCTTCCATCCTCTGGTTCACTCCCCTAGTGGGCACAACGGCTAGAGGTAAGTGGATCTGAAGCCAGGAGCCAGTAGCTTCGTCCAGGTCTCCCATGTGGGTGCAAAGTCCCAAGGCTTTGGGCTATCTTCTATTGCTTTCCCAGGCCAAAAGCAGGGAGCTGGTTGGGAAGTGGAGCAGCCAGGACAAGAAGCAGTATCCATATCAGATCCTGGCATGGGCAAGGGTGAAGATTTAGCTTCTGAATCATCAAGCAGGTCCCTATTTTTTTTTTTTTTTTAATTTAAGGGATGTACCTATTACTTGAAAGACAGAGATAGAATTTTGTATCTACTGGTTCACTGCCCCAACAGCCTCAACAGTAAGGGCTGGGTTAGGCTTAAGGCAGGAACATGAAACTCTCATCCTTCTGCTGCTTTACCAGGCACATTAACAAATGGAGCCACAATGCCAGAACCCCTTTTGAGGTTTCCAGAAAGTTCTCTACTTTGCCATTGATTCTTTGGTTTCAATTTTTCCATTTATTTGTTTTGGTGTCTGACCTTTACATTTGAAATTTTGATGTTTGACTGCCCTTAACTATTGACATTTAGGAGTAATATACTACAAAGCTAATTGGAAGTTGCTTATGTACAAGGTTTATTAAAAGGCCTTAGAGAGCATAAGGTGGGAAATCTTGTCAAGAAAATAAAAAATTTCAGCGTTCATAGGCCATTTTTCCTGCAGCTGTCCAGCCTGTTTTTGCCTAAAGGGGTTCAACGTGGTGTGTACAGATTCCCACTGCCCCTGTACTTTCACCTAATTCCTTAATTTTGTTCTAAACCCCCGATTCCCAGCCTCACTATGCTGGTTGCTGAGGTCAGAGGCTCTGGTATTTAAATAAATGCATGGGCTGTTCCATTGAGGATGCCAGTGACTGAGGAGTGTGAATCATCCGTCCAGAAACTCTGACATGTGGGTTTAGAATACCTTAAGTATTTCTTGAGATGGAAGCTCCCGTTTCAGAGGAGGTTATCACCTTGCGTGGTCAGATCTGATGGGAACCTGCAACCAGCTTCCTATTCCAGCCTGTTACTCTCCTCCACCCCACCTCCAATTCCTACCCTGCTGCAGGTGCTGCACTTTTCTCTGGGTTGCAAATGGCATGCTGGCTTCAAGTCTGTAACCATTTGGGCAGGGCAGAACCCAGCTTACTCTGCTAATCTAGTTTTTCACTTCACCAAAACACTGATGTCTCTCATTCACCATCATCTTGTTTCTCCTGATCACTGAGTCAGGTGCATTTTTGAAGTAACCCCGCTGTGGCTGTGCCCTTGTAATCTTTCCTGTTTCGCAGGACACTTCAGCATCACCATCTGTCAAGGCCTTCCCTAATCACTCCAACCAGAGCAATCTCCCTTTCCTGAAAGGTTCCAGAGGCCATTGCTGATCCTCTGCCAGCCATCTGGTACAGATCAGAGAAGATGCTTACAGGCACCTGTGGCTAACTGCCTCATTAGGTCCATGCCACAACTTTCATGTGCTCTCTAGGTACTTAGATCAAAACTGAGATTCCCTGCACAAGAAAAACTAAAGGAAAATTAAACTAAGCCAAACTCTAGCCAGCCTAATTTTTCTTCTGCTGAAACATTTCAGTAATGCTTCATGTGCCCATAGAGTTCTCTGTCCTCCCACCTAGATGCTATGAAGAGGACCACTTTTTCTCTCTCTGCACACCACTTGCTACACAGCGACAATTGGCAATCTAAGTATCAACAGAAATGTCAACATGAAGGCAATAACAGAGCTCCAAAGATGAGCCGAAAGGGCTTATTTCCTGGCTGAGGCTAAAGGAGGCGACAGGGCAGGTGACAAACGGCAGCTCGACTCCAGGACCAGACCCTGCCTCTGTTGATTACTACTCTCGGGGCTTCTTCGAGCTTCAGGCACTTCATCTAGAAATGAAGCTGAAGACTTCAATACGGGGCTGAAGTGGAATAATAGGTGGTAAGTTTTTAACACATAGCAGAATGCCTGTCAAACAGTAAACACTCTCTTCCTGTTGAGAAAACATTTCACAGGATCTTCCCGTGTTCTCTGGATTCCATTACTGGCTTTCGGTTTTATTTTCCTCTTGGGGTTGGGGCTGGAATTCCTCTTCATGAGCACACAACGTGCTCAGTGTTCTGGATTCTGAGGAGCGAGTCCTTGGCTTTACCCATCGAGAGCTGTGGGACCTTGAACAGATTTCCTCATCTTTATGACAAAGATCTGTCCAGCCTCCATGGCAAGGCGAGTATTGTATCAATTCAAAAGAAGTATGAGACAGACGAGCAAGTGGCACTGGTCTTTACATCCGCCTGACATTGTCACCCTCGGGCAGAGGAGGCTGGACTAGGGTCCTCTATGGAAACAGGTTTAGCCCATCACCCCAGAACCACAAACTGGTTTGCAAATGTTGGAAAAGCATGCAGGTCCATCCTTCACTCCCCAGGGAGGAACTACAGTACTCCCCTAGCAGCTATAATACCTCCCTTTCCCTCTCCTTCAGGTGTGAGGGAAAGGCAGCCACACCAAAGGATCAGAATTCCAGTCACATACCCCCATGGCTGGTCAGTCAAAGCTGAAGAGAAAGCAAATACACCCCTCTCTTTTTAATATGAACAAGCACAAGCAGCAGAGAGGGCCAGCTGCTCTCTGCTGTTCCCTGAGGGAAAGCCAGAGCACAAAGAGCTTCCCTTGGCCTTTCTCCAACTGCAGGGCCTGCTTAGCTCGCTCTAGGCAGGCGCTCTGTTCCAGTCCAGCTTCCCTCATCCCAGCTCCCCCATCTCGATGGTTCCTGGTAGTGTGAAGAACACTGCAGTCCCAGCCTCAGCGCTGTATGTCACAGGACAGTGGTCATTTTTCCTGCAACTGGCTCCTTGCTTGCCCTGGCCCAGGAACCACGACACTCAGTCACACCCACAGGGGTGGGCAGCATGCGACTTCAGTCATCTTCAGATGATTCCTCTTCTGCCTCTTTTAGCCACTGCACGAACCTCTGCAGCTGTAAGCACACAGAGGGGAGAATTACTGCGGGAGGGGTAGACAATCCCACTGTTCCCTTGGCAAATAAGCAGCTCAACCCCAAGCCCAGCCACCCTGGAATCTGGGGTCAAAGGCTGGGGAATGCGCCAGGCCCCAGGGTGAGAAGAGGGTGGCTTTCCTCACCTGCTGATTCTTACGCAACTGCCGACCCTTGTCAGTTACATCCTTTTGGTTGAACCAGCTCAGGATCGTTTCTTCCGCCAGGATCTCTAACTGGTAGAAAGCCATCAGTACCTGTGGAAGGCCAGCAAAGGGGATGTCAGGAACCTCACAAAGTCCAGCAAGATACAATGAGTAACAGAAAAGAGTGAATTGTTCATTTTAGTAACAGGGCAGGTATAACTTCTGGAACTCAGGCACATTTCCATGTCAACTCCCAAATGCCTGCCTCCCTATGCCTATAGCTCCAAGCTTTACCATTCCAACAAGTGTGACACTAGGAATGGCCAGTGCTATCAGTCGAAGCCCAGACTGGGTGCATGTTAGTCTGTTCTGTGTTTCCCTGGGAAGTCTTCCAAGAAGCATGGGGTTTGAAGTATTTACCTTGGCCATGCAAGTACTGAGAGCTTCATGTTCCAGGAAGAACTCCTCAATGGCTGCCAATGCTTCCAAATGGTCAGCTGCACGTTTTATATAGTTCCTAAACACAGGGCTCCAGGACTTGAGCAGCTGTGGGAGAAAGGAGAAAGAAATGAAATGCACTCCTGAGGGTACTCACTTATCTGAACATCAAAACAAGTTGACCCTTTGTGATATGGGAGAACAAGAGAAAAATGATATAGGTGTTGTGGAAACATGTTAGAAGAACCTAGAAGTCTGACAGCCGGAGTGTGGAAGGGGAACCCTGAAGACTCCCCAGGGAACGTGAAAGGAAGCCAGGCACTGTGCCACCTCAAGGCACCTATTCCCAGCCTCGAGTCTGAAAGCCCAGGTCTATCCTGAGTACACCTTTGGGTGCCTGGTAGAGTCTGAATTGTGTGGTCTCAAAGGCCATTCAACACACCCCTATTGGCGTCCAGAGGCAAAGGGAATGGAAATAGAGGCAATACAAAACCTGAATTCCTCTGAAGTCAAGCAGAGCAAGAGCAGGTGTGTGTGTCACCACCCAACCCCGTTTACCCAGCCCCAGCCTTGGCTCACGGGAAGCAGCAGGGCAGAGTAGTGGTTGGCTTCTAGGGGGGAGTTCATCTGTTGCAGGGGGAACTCCAGGACCACGTGGCTCAGGACCTGCATCACCTCCTTCAGGCTGATGTTGTAGGCGTACCTGTGGGGAGACTGGGGTGACACCAGGGCCTTCACTGGCCCCATCCATGTGTTGCAAGACTAGGACTTGGACAAAAGCCTGGCTGGGGAGTCAGATGAGAGCGTCTGGGAAGGGGAAGGTCTGTGCTGAGGTGAGGCTGGACCTGATGCCCTGCCCCCAACCCTGCACCAACATTTCCAGCCTGAGTTCCCTCAGGAAGGACACAGCAGGGAGGGGCTGCTCTTACTTGAGAGAGTTGATCTCCAGAATGAGATTGTCACAAGAAATGCTCTCCTCTTTGCCACGCTGCAGTGTGCCTAGGACTTCATTCTGGAACACTTGAAAATCAAAGCAAGAGTAAGTTCATGGGCCAACATCATTTCAGAAGTGCTTTGTTGACATCACTGGCCCTGAAATCACATCAAACCCTTCATGGGAGGAACACATGCCTTTGGCTAGTTGATCTAGGTCAAGGATAAACAGATTAAATGGCTTCCTTCACTGTCCAGCATGCCAGTGTCCTGGGCACTCACCTTTGATGTCATCCAACTGAGGGGAGCCTGCCCGGCTGTCCAGCTCTTCAGAATCCATACTCCGCTCACTTTCTGTCTCACTGTCTTCTTCCTCATCGATCGTGAGTCCTGCCATTGCAGAAAGGATGAGAAGACAGAAAAATAAGGAAGGAAAGATTCATTCACATGTCTGTCCTCTCCATGTGAATAAAACGAACAAATAACCTGAGTCTCAAGGACTCAGCTTCCTTTAAAAGACCCCGAGCCAGTGGAGGAGGCAGGCAGAAGGCTGAGCTCACCCCACAGACTTTGCCGTAGCTCTTCCTCATCCTCGGTGTTCATGTCTGCAGCTTTCCAGAGGTACCCCTGGCCAGCAGCTCCTACTTCGGCTGGATTGTAACCTGGAAGGGTGCTGCCTGTGAGTGAGGGCCCATGGAGATACCCAGCACCCCTTCCTTGCCAGGTATAATCCCTGGTCCTCCTATGGGGCAGAGAGACACGCAGATGCCCCACACCTGTTGAGCCTCACACCTTTCAGCTTCACTTTCTCCTTTTCTTGGTTGGCCCCAGAATCATCACTGAACTGGCCATCATCCTCATCTTCCTCTGCATCTGGAGGGTGCAAAGAGATCACCGAGCCCTCAGGCAGCGTGATGTTTGGGCCCACCACCACCTGGGGGAGGAAAAAAGGCATGGGTGGCATGGACCCACAGTACATGGAGGAAAGACACATCCTGACAATGAGAGCAACTTGCCTTTACTAAGCCAGTGACTTGGGTTTTCAATTCTGGTTGGCCTGTGAGTGGAGATAAGGACCCCTGCCCCCTGGCTCACTGTGATCATCACTTAATTTAGGGCCTGTGCAGCAGGGGGTGGTGTCTCACCTGGGAAGTGAGGACGCAGTGTGGTTTCAATGTAACTTGTTCCTTGACCACAGCATTGTCACAGAGCAGAGACTGATGGATCTGTGCCCCAGAGGCCACTTGGACACCTCTCCATAGGTAGGCCCGGTCCAGCACTACATTATCACCTGGCTCAGGATGGGAAGGACTCTTGGTCACTTAGGGTTCCAACAACAGACCAGAACCCTTCAGGGAGCACAGGGCTGCCAGACCCCAGCAAGCTCCTTAGAGTTCTGATCCCCTCCTCTCCTACTAGTACAGCAAAGCACCCCTTCACCTGTGAGTGCAACACTGCTTGGCTGCTCTGTCTTCCCCACAGCAGACTACCATTACAATCTACAGATTCAAAAGCTGAGATCCTTCCAGGGTTCTTCCAGGGGACTTCTTCTCAATTTAAGAACATTATTAGAATCCTATCCATGCCTAACAGAATCAAGTAAAATTATTCCATCTCTTCTTTTACAGTGAACTTGAACCTTACTATTCCTACAATCAAAGTGAGTTGCCAAGAGGTGAAACTGTCAATTACAGAACAGTAAAATCAACACTGGACTTTGAATGCCACCACTTATCCAGGTTTAGGTCCTAGCACTACTTCTTAATACCTGTGATCAGCAAAACAACCTCCTTGAACCTATAAGTAAGAGATAAATAATAACTCCCTTGCAAGGCTTTTGTAAGGGCTAAACAAAATAGTGTATGTAAAAGCCCCTCTGTAAATGGTCATGCACTTACACAGATGTATGACTGCATGCTATTTATCCACCTGGTCCTAATTACGAATATAGGGTGCTCTGGAATGTGAAGAGTCACCCAATACACAAGCCCCAAATTAGGGTCTCACTACTCTCAACTCCCTCTTCCCTCCTTCCTTAAGGATGGCCATTCTGGTTCCTCATTCCCAGGAACTGTTCTTACACATACATCCTTGTATCTGGAGACACATGGCCCCAGACTCCTGTCCCTGGAATGGCTGGCTTGATCTCCCTGCCGGTGCTCACCAATGTGGCAGCCAGGGCCAATGACGCTGTTGGTGATGCAGCAGTTGCTGCCGATGACAGTGCCCGAGCCCAGGAGCACATTTTCCTCCAGGACACTGCCATGGCCCAAGCTGACCTCCGGCCCTCGGTAGATGTTGTGCCGGGAATGAGTGCAGCTCTGAGTGGCGCTGTCAGTGAAGTTCACCTCGGGAGTGAGAGGGTACAACCATCGACGGATGATGTCAGCACAGACGGCGGAGTACATGTGTAGGTTGGAGACCCGGGCACCATATTCCTTAGTTGTTACATGCATGTGGATCTGGTTCCCTAAGATCTGAATGAGAAAAGGAGAGGGAGGTCAGCCATGCCAGCAAGCTATGAAGAATGTTCCCACGTACAACGCCTTTCTAAGCCTCTTCAATTCCTCCCTGCTACAGCCAAACAGCCAAAACAGCCTTTTTTGTTTTTTTTTGTGTGTGTAGTTTCCCTCTTCCTTAGATTTTTTTCCTCCCTCCTGAGCCTTAATAAAACATAAAATGGGACCAAATGTAACAGCACAAGATAAAATTACAGTGTCTACTCTCCAAAGAGGCACTGACAGCCTTTCCTCACCTCTTCATTCACCAACAGGCCTCGCACAAAGTCATCTCGGGTTTGGTAGTCAAAGTTGTCTGTGAATAGCTGAGCCACCTGTCAGGTGAAAAGCGTAGGCAACATGACTTGCTGGAAGCAAAGATAAGCTGCCAGACAAACCGGTGTTAACTGGATAAGGACTGAATCCCAAAGGTCATGGTAGGTGAACAAGGAGATGAAGACAACATCTCTGCTTTATAACAGATAGTAAAAGACAAAGAAGGAAGCATTGCCTGGTCACTAAAGAATTTATCTGAGAGCATGTACACAGGCACATATGCCTATCCATTGATTCAATCCCCCAGTGCTTGTAACAATTGGGATTGGGCCAGGTCAAAGCTAGGAGCTGGAGCTGGGGCGGTAGCATAAGGGTTGAAGATACCACTCGTGGCTCCAGTAATTCTACATGGATGCTGGTTTGATTCAACTGCTGTACTTCTGATTCAGCTCCCTGCTAATGTGCCCAGAAAAACATTGAAAAAAAGCCCAAGTCCTTGGGTCCCTGTACCCATGCGGGAGACCCAGGAAAGGCTCCAGACTCCTGGCTTTGGTCTGGCCTAGTCCTAGCTATTGGGGAAGTGAATCAGTAGATGGAATATCTCTCTCTCCTTCTGTCTTTTTATCTGTGCTCACTTGTGCAAATAAACAAATCTTGGGTTCCGGCACAGTAGCCTAGAGGCTGAAGCCCTTCCCTTGCATCCACCGGGATCCCATGTGTGTTAGTTTTAATCCTGGCAGCCCCACTTCCCATACAGCTCCCTGACAGTCAAGGACAGCCCAAAGCCTTGGGGCCCTACACCTGCATGGGAGACCTGGAAGAGGCTCTGGGCTCCTGGCTTTAGATCAGCTCCAGCTGTTGTGGCTATTAGAGTGACTCATCAGATGGAAGATCTTCCTCTGTGCATCTTACTTTCCAATTAAAAAAAAAAAATCTTTAATGAAAAATAAAATTAAAAGATCTTTTAAAAAAAGGTTGGAGCTGGGACCTCAATTCACGGTTCCCATTTGGGTTGCAGGGATCCGTCTGCTTAAGCTGTTCACTGCTCTTCCAGCTGCTGGAACTGGAAGTGGAGCTGGGAGTAGGCCCTTCAAATGTGACACAGCTGCCCCAACCCAGGTCTTAACTGTTAGCACCCACCCCTTGGCCAGCCCTCTAAGTGGGCAACAATAGACCCTCAAGAGTTTTGCTGTGAATGTGCAGTGCTGGGGAGCTCACCTGAGGGGAGCAGATGCTGATATGACAATCTAGTAAGTCGTACCGAATCTCCACTCCTGCTTTGCTGCCCTGGAACAGGCTCTGTGGGAACAAATTCCAAACACTTGAACCAGACTCTGGTGCTGAAGGCCTGTCACTCTCCTACCTCAAGGACCCAAGCCAGCCACACACCAGAGGAAAAGCAAAACGTCGGAGGCCCTGAGTCTTCTGGAAATGGAGAATCCGGTTTGTGGTGCTATCCACTGCCACAACCACGTTGTCCTCATGGCAGCGAGTTGGGTGGCTTGGGGAGGACTCTTTGAAGACCATTGTCATCACAGACACATTTTTTTCTAGTTTCCGCCTCAACCTGGAAAGGCCAGGAAGGAGATACCTGTTGGAAAGCAACCCTTGGGCTCTGTGGGTCCCTGGCCCCTGCCACTTTCCCGGCCCTACCTATGCTCCTCGAGGGCTTTGGTGATGTTGATGTTGGAGACGACATCTCCGTACACCAGCACGAAGTCGGAGCGCACCAGGGCTTTGGCATCGACGTCCCGGAGGACATCTCCCAGGGACCGGTAGAGCTCGGACGTAATGATCCGAACCACATTGGGGGATGTAGGGCGGCACCACTTGGATTTCCTGGAGGAGGAGGGCGGTGAGGGCAACGAATCCATCAGACACAAAGAGCATGTGCACCGTGCGTACCTTTCGCCCTCATTCAGCATTCACACTCCTGTTCTAGGGCTTCTTTGGGTTCCTGCCAGCGTCCTCAACTTCAAAAAAAGACCTGTGGTCTGTAATTAACACTTTTAACATCCTGTGTTACCAGTCTTGTTTTATGGGTCAGAGGAACATGATTATTTCCTCTCAATATCCTGATCCCTGTCCCCAAACATGTACTTAAACTCCAAATCCTGCTGAAACTGAGAATATACATAGTACACTTCTTGTCACCTTTCCCCTTCTTCTTTTAAATATTTTTATTTGAAAGGCAGAGTTATACAACAAGATAGAGACAGAAAGAGAGAGCTCTTCCACCCATTCTTTAACTTCCCAAATGGCTGCAATGTCCAGAGCTGGGCTGATCTGAAGCCAGGAGTTCTTTCTGGGTCTCCCACTTGGTTGCACGAGTCTTAAGGACCTGCTGAATCAGAAGTGCAGCAGCTGGGACACCACACTCACACGGGATGCCTGCACCTCACGCCATGGTCCCACCTTTTCCCAACTGTCCCTACTAAGTTTAGGAATTGTCTGATGAAGACTGCTATCATCTTATATTTATTTCCTAAAGTTCCATAAGACCTGAGTTTCACTATTTTCCAAGAAGATTTCAACATATATTTAAGTGCTCACTCTGTGCTTGGTGGCAATAAGATGAAAACCAGCCCATTCTTGTCTGTGAGGATCAGAACACACAATATTCAGATACTCAATGGAAAAACGAAGATGCTATTCTTCTAATTTCCATACTAAAGTGGGAGACCCCAAAAAGCTCCTGACTTCTGGTTTTGGCCTGGCCCAGTCCTGCCTGTTTAACTTCCCGGGGAGGGAGCTAGTGGATGGAAGACCTTTCTGTCTCCCCCCCTCCGTAACTCCGCCTTTCAAATACATGAATTTGTTAAAAGTTTTTCATAGGAACCCCAGGACAGGCAGCTTCAGGTATTCACATTCTGATAAATGAAGAAAACATCCCACTGAGCTCTAACTAGGCACATTCTACCACCCCCCACCTATTACCCATAAAGATTTTCTTCCTCACTTTGAAATGAACAGAAAAAGTAAAATAATTTTCAGGGTCTTACTGTAAATGTTCTTTGATCTGAGCAGCCTTCCAGCAACAAAATACAAAGGTTTCCTGTACACCTGTGGCAGTCAGGAATTCCAGAGTATAGTCAATTAACGCCACATTAGCCAGGGGTAAGAGGACCTAGAGGGTGAGATAAGATACAGGTTGGAGATCTTGAATTCATGAGGGCCTCTGGCTTCCCCACTGTAACAATCCCCACTCCTCTGCCAGTATTTACAAACACTACACTTTGGCTTCACGTTTCCAATTCAAAGATAAAACTGTTTTCTGCCTTTTCGAGTCAGTGGCAGGCAAGGAATCTGTCTGCCCTGCACCAGACCACTGCTAACAAAAGACAATTAGGAAATCGGACAGACCTCTCCAAACTTATGCAGCACGCGGGCTTCCTTTGCCCATCATATCGCCTTCTTTGAGCCTTTTCTAAAAGTCAGGGACCAGCTACCCCTCTTTGGGAAATCACTTGTCAAAAATGAACTGCCATGAGACTTTCGGAGGGGTGGGAGGTGAGGAAGACAGCTAAGGAAAATTTCCCGTTAAATCCAATGCGGTTCTCTCTCTGAACCGAGCCAGCAACACCCAGGACTGGCGCGGCCCAATTCCCCACGTGTCCAAACAATCTAAGGAATGATGGCAACCCGCCACCAAACCTGCTCTGCGTTACTTTTGACAGATGGCACTTGGAAGGAAAAATGGTACCTGGCCGGGGTTCTGGTCTGCTCCCTTTTAGGCACAAGGCCGTCCCCTTTCATAGGCAAACAGATCCTTTCCATTGAAACGTCCCTTTTCCTACACAAGGTTAAGGGCAGCGCGGCCTCGCCCACCCCGGGAGCCCATGCCTGTCAGCCGCTCGCTTGCTCAGGCCGTGATCGCAGCTGTGGCCAGTCGCCCCCGTCCACCGCCTGGCCAGGGAACCCCCGATTTTAGGACCACAGAGACAGGGAAAGTCGGGGGGACACGGGGCCTTCCAGAGCACGCCTCGCCACGCAGCCCACAGGAGCGGCATTCCACCTTCCCTGCAGATCGCGTGCGCAACGCTGCTCACCCGAGGCTGGTCCTTGGAGATGGGGAAGAAGCGGCGGTTGAAGCTATCGGCCACCAGGACTGCCTGGAGGGGCGGCGGCGGTTCCTCCTCCGTCCCTCTGGCTCCCCCGCCGCCGCCGCCGCCGCGCTTCGGGGCTCGACCCGACACCGCACCGGGAGGCGCCACCGCAGTGGCCGCCATCTTCTTCTCGCACTTCCGTGAGGACACACGCACACACCGCAAGCAGGAGGGGACAAAAAGGTCCCAAGACTCGAAACGCGCTAGACTGAAGAGAGGGAGGAGACGGGGAAAGGAGGGACGCGCATGCGTCGTGCCCCTGCGCTGGCGCTCCCAGCCGGGAGGGCTCGAGGCGTGGCGCCCGCCGAGAACCGCCCTGGCCAGTGCAGGCGCAGGTGGGTCGCCGGTGTCCTCTCAGGCTTTTATCGGGCCGCCAACAAGCTGAGACTCCTGCGCCGTGCGTGGCCGCCAAGGAGCCAGGGGGCTATTGCGTCGTTTTGATCACCTCGTGGACCCGGTGCCACGGGGGATTCGGAGCTAAGTCAGATATTCCCCTCCCCACGCCCCGCCACCCCGCGGAGGCTCCCACTAAGACAGGGAGTGCTGTAGTGGGGAGAGTAGGAATGCTGCTGTTTGTGGGCCGGCACGAAGCAACCAGTCTGGTGAATCACGTATGTGTGCAAGATATCTTGCTCATCCCGCAAATACTGGGAACTCCCAGCAAACTGAGCAAGACTGGAGGCAAGCGGCAGGTTCTCCAGACTCTGCGGCCTGAAGGGGCTGAAGGGGCGCAGCACGTTTCGGGAAAAGCAGCGGGCTGCAGAAGGGGCAAGGACGTGACGGAGCGTGGGAGCCAGGCCGCACCCTTGCCATGCCGCCCACTGCCACTCCCGACCGTGGTGCACGTCGGGACTTGTAGTTCGCGGGGCCAAGATTCGTAGTTTCCACGTGGCATGCCCCACGCTCCCAGCCGTGCTACCGCTCCCTAGTGATTGGACTAGGAGTGCTAGTAGTTCTTCCTGCTCCCACTTAAAGCAAACGCCATTCGCTGTAGGCATCTCTTTTTTTTGAAAGAAACTCCATTTTCATGGATTGGAAAATTTATTATTATTATTATTTTTATTGGAAAGGCAGATACACAGAGGAGAGACAGAGAAAGATCCTCCACCTGCTGGTTCACTACCCAAATTGTTTCAACATCACTCCCCAAGTGACCCCAATGGCTGGAGCTGAGCCAATCCGAAGCCAGGAACCAGGAGCTTCTTTCTGAGTCTCCCATGCGGGTGCAGGGTTCCAAGGTGTTGGGCCATCTTCCACTGCCTTCCCAGGCCAAAGGCAGAGAGCTGGATGGGAAGTGGGACAGCTGGGACACGAAGCACATCCACACGGGCAGCTCACGGTTTTGATTAATAAATGTGAGTGGTATAGGCAGGTGCTCGAGTACTCTGTAAATGAACAGGCACATCAGAAACAAACAGAAGAAGGAGGAAGCGGAGGGCATTAACCGGGACCATGCACAGATACATGGGGTATGAGCAAGAAGGAAGGAAAAATGAGCCCAGTTGTAGGAAAATGTTTATTCTCATTGACTTGAACAGCAGGGCAACAGAGAGAGAGAACAAATCTGTCTGCTGCTTTACCCCCCAAATACTGGGCAATTCCACATCCAGGAGCGCAGAACTGCATCTGGTCTCATGTGGGTGATGGGGACCCAGATACTTGCTGCCTCCTACCATGTGGATTCCCAAAACTTGAACCATGCACTCCTATACGGAGTGTAGGATTCCTAAGTAGTGGCTTAACCCAGATGTCACAACAACTGCCCTAATTTTAGAAATTTTTGAGGATTCTGGGGACCCCGAAGGTGGTGAATTTCCAGTTGAAAGCATCAGTAAGAATGGTGAGCCTACTAGGCTTTAAAATCTTGTAAACAAGACTAAGAGTTGTGGTGCAGTGGGTTAGGACACTGGCATCCCATGTGGGCTCTGGTTAGGGTCCTGGATATGCTGCCTTTGGGAAAACAGCAGAGTCCCTGCACCCACATGAGCGACTCAGATTGGGTTTCTGGCTTCTGGCTTCTGCCTGATGTAGCACCCTCACTTCCTCTCTCTCTGTATGGAACTCTGCTTTCTGACATTTTTGAAAAGGTTTATTTATTTTCATTTGAAAGGCAGATTTACACAGAGAAGGAGATACAGAAAGATTTTCCATCTGCTGGTTCACTTCCTAAATAGTTGTAGTAGCCACAACTGAGCCTATCTGATACCAGGAGCCAGAGCTTCTTGCAGTCTCTCATGCAGGTGCAGGGTTCCAAGGATTTGGGCCATACTCGACTGCTTTCCCACACCATAAGCAGGGAGCTGGATGGGAGGTGGAGCAGCCAGGACACGAATTGGCACGCATACGGAATCCTGGCAGATGGCAAGGCAAGGATTTAGCCACTAGGCTATTGTGTTGGGCCCCTTACAAAAAGTCTGTCTTTTTTTTTTGCTGCTTAATAATTTATTGCAAACTTCTTGTCAGATATCAGATGCTATATTAAGCAACAAATTCTATTCTTTTTTATTTTTATAAATTTTATTTTTTGTAATGATTATATGGTTGATCATGGTGGAAGGATTGAGGTTTAGGGAAAATTGGGTGAACTTATTGCTTCCAAATTTGCTATTTCTTCTTGTTATTTCTGGAGGAAGGAGAGAGACAAAGGGGAAACCACTCATGACTTTCCACATGACCCTGTACCCAGGGATGAGGAACCACCACCTCCTATCAACCCAGAGTCTCAATGTGTACATATTCCAAGGGTTCTGACCAAGTCGCTTGGATAGTTCTGAAATGCTACCAATTTCACCAATCCATGGATGATGTCACCCTCCCAGTGTCCATTGGCTCCATTCAGCGAGATTTTTTGCTGTCATCATTTGTTTGGGGTAGTTGTTCAGTTAGTTCTGTTCTGCTACAGCACCAAATGAGCTGCCATATTCTGCTTTTACAACAGGGCCTATGTCTACTACTGTGCCCTTTTCAATAAGTAGGACACATGCAAGATGAGGATTTTAGCCTAGTTTATTTCTAACTTTGCCAGAAAGTTAGTGAAAACCACATGTACAAGATTAGACACAAACTAGATAAGGAGGTAAAGAATCCCTGTCCCTGTAGCTCTGATTCTCCCCGGTCTAGCCCTTCCTTATGATTTGACAGATATTCTTTTCATTTGTTTCGTTAGTGTGTATATCTGGATCTAGAGATATACACACAAGCACATGCCTACACACACAAGTACACCCCAACACACACATGTATGCACATTCACACAGAGTTGTCTGTCTCTGCAGGCTGTGTTGTGTGAGGATGTGCTGGAACTCCCAGGCCAGCCATTTTCCATTGGCAGGTTAGTCAACCTCTGTCTGAATCTCAGCTCTGAATTGGGATAATAGTACTCAAAAGGTTGTCATGAGGATGAAATTAGTACTGTAGGAAAAACCCTTGTTTGGAATAGCATTTACCGCAGTCAATGTTAGTTCTTTGCATTTATTTGAAAGACAAAGTGGCAGAAAGAGAGGGAAAGATATTTCATTTGCTGGTTTACTGCCCACATGGCCATGACAGGGCTGAGTCATATTGGAACCCAGAGCCAGCAACTCCATCCAGGTTTCCCATGTGGTTGGCAGGAACCCGAGTACTCAGACCAGCATCCATTGCTTTTTCCCAGGGTAGATATTTACAGCGCAGCTGGGGTCAAACTGGCACTCTGACATGGGATGAAACCTAATGTGCTCCATCACAATGCCCTACAACTTGATTTTTATTTTACATATGAGGAAATGTAGAACATCAGCTATTTTAGAAAAAGATTTATTTATTTTTATTGGAAAGCTAAATTTACAAAGAGAAGGAGCAGGGAGAAAGGTCTTCCATCTGTTAGTTTACTCCTCTAGTGGCCAAAACAGCCAAAGCTGAGCCGATTCAAAGCCAGGAGCCTCTTTCAGGTCTCCCTGGTGGGCGCAGGGTCCCAATACTTTAGGCCATCCTCTGCTGCTTTCCCAGGCCACAAGCAGGAAGTTGGATGGGGAATGGAGCAGCTGAGACATAAACCAGCATCCATATAGAATTCTGGCACTTTCAAGGGGAGGATTAGGCAATTGAGCCATTATGCTGGGCCTGACAACCAGCTATTTTCAGTTATTTCATAGTCTTCTACGCTTGATCTTAGCCAAAAGGCCGAGAAGCGATCCATAGTGTTCTGTAACATTTTTTTTTCCCAACTAGGTCACTGTTGATAAATATTCAGATTAAAAAAAAATTCTTTGCAATTGTGAGTACTGCAGCAACAGGTGTCCTTTCTATATAGATTTTTTTTAAAAAAAAGATTTATTTATTTTTATTGGAAAGGCAGATGTATAGAGAGGAAAGACAGAGACAGAAAGATCTTTTATCTGCTGTTTCACTCCCCAAATGATTTGCAATGGCCAGAGCTGAGCCAATCCAAAGTCAGGAGTCAGGAACTTCTTTTGGGTCTCCCATGTGAATGCAGGGGCCCAAGGACTGTGGTCATCCTGTGTGGTTTTCCCAGGCTATTGTAAGCAGTGAATTGGGTGGTAAGTGAAACAGTCGGGATGTGAACTGATACCCATACAGGATGCTGGTACTTACAGGTGGAAGACTAGTCAAATGTGCTGTTTCTCTCTCTCTCTCAGATTGATTTTTAAAGTTTTTTTTTTTTTTTTTTAATTGGAAAGGCAGATATACAGAGAGCAGATAGAGAAGGACTTTCTGTCTACTGGTTCACTCCCCAAGTGGCTGCAAAGACCAGAGCCGAGCCAATCTGAAGCCAGGAGTTTCTTCAGGGTCCCAAGGTATTGGGCCATTCTCTACTGCCTTCCCATGCCACCAGCAGGGAGCTGGATGGGAAGTGGGGCAACTGGAACATGAACCGGCTTCTGTATGACATCCCAGCGGATGCAAGGTAAGGATTTAGCCATTAGGCTATTGTGACAGGCTCTAGATTGATTTCTTAGAATTTGTTCTCCAAGTGGGGTGAGAGTGGTTTGAATTAGATATAGTTCCTATGGTGCAGGATGTGATGTTAAACCCGCAGGCAATCTGCTTGGCACTGGCGAGACTCCCAGAGATAGTGCTTAGATGCTGTCCACAGACGAGGTGCCATTTGGTCCCTGCACCACCCGAATGTGAGAGTACTTATTTCTCAGCAACTAAACCAACAGAGTGCTATGTTAGTGGTCTGGGTCTTTACCAATCTAGAAG